GTGGCAGTGGTGGTGGTGGTGGTGGCCGTGGTGGTGGCGGTGGCGGTGGTGGCGGCGGTGGTGGTGGTGGTGGGAGTGGAGGTGGTGGGGATTCGTGGGCGGGGCATACAAGGTGGGGTGGAGGAGGCACGAGAACGGGGGGTGCAAGGAGGGGTGGTGGCTGTCGTGTGCGAGCGTGGTGTGCAGGGAGGTGTGCCTAGTGGACTGCTGAACGGGTTTCTGCAATCCCTCTCCCTGTCCCTTTCCCTCTCCCTCTCCCTCTCCAGCCGTGGCTCAGCCGACCAGCCGTGTGTGTGCTGTGTTCGCAGCCGTTTGCACGGGGGAGAGGCAGGCGGACCCAGCAGTGCAGAACCTCCTGATCCCGCCTCCCTCTCTGCTGCCTTCGCCTCCCCCGCTGCTGCCCTCGCCTCCCCCGCTGCTGCCCGTGCCTCCAATGCTGCCCCAACACAAGCCATGACCACGTCAGCGCCTTCTTGCGGCGACACAACATCCCAGAGCCCGTCTGAGGCGAGGATGAGGGCGCTGCAGTCCGCCCCCACGCGCACCTGCGCCACGTCCGGCTGTGGCGTGATGAACGCCTTGAGGTGTGCATCGCCCATGCCCCGCGTCACTGCCAGGATGCCCTGCACGCGGGGCATGCCCGTGGCCGTGTCCACGAAGCCACCCTGGAGGGAACGAGACATGGGCGGGAGGGGAGGGCCCGGAGGGGTGAGAGGGGCAGCACAGGAAAAAGTCACGCGGGGAACCAACGTCTCCTTAAACTAGATTCTTTCACAGGAAAAGCTAAGCATGGCGCTGCTGGATCCAGTGACAGGAAGGGGGTGGTTGGGATGTTTGGATTCACAGAAACCTACCAGAGCGGTGATGCGGGCCTGCTCGTCCTCCCTGCTCGCCCGGTGGTCGTCCGTCAGCGCCACCGCTCTCCCCCCCTTCACCAGCACCGCCTTGCAGTCTCCCGCATGCGCCAGCAAAAGCCGCCCAGGCGTGGCCCAGCAGGTGAGGCAGCTGGTGCCACTGGCGACGTTCTGTAGGATATGCATACGTGGGGCAATGGAGAGACGCAGTGGAGCGGCGAAGGGAAGAGGTGAGTTGGGGGCGATAAAGAGTGACAAGGGGTTGCAGAGGAAACGGGAACGCTAGGACTGGGGAGAAGGCACCATTGCAAGCAAGGAAGAAGGCATCCAACAAGGCAGAAGGAAGGTACTCAGCAAGACAGCAAGCACCCGGCCATCCTCACACGCACCTGGTCCAGGAAGCGCCTGTCCGCCTCCAGGTAGCCCTCCTCCAGCGCCGCCGCACTCGCGTGCGCGCCTCTGCGCGCGGCTGCCTGCGCCACGTGGCTCGCCAGCTCGGACGCTGCGAACTTGGCGGCTGCTGTGCCGCCGTGCCCGTCAAACACCCCGAAGAACGCCTGTGGTGGAACGCAGGGCGGTGTGGTTCAGAGCGGTAAGCATTCGTGGAAAAACCATGACACGTAACGTCCATGACACGCGTATCCATGAGAGACGCGTACCCATGACGTGTGGAACAGACAACCCCTACCCCCCCTGCACGTTCATAGCTCTCGCGCCCTTCGAAACCCAGCAGCGCCTGATGCGCATGCTCATGACGCGCATGTCCATGACGCGCATGTCCATGACGCGCATGTCCATGACACGCATGTCCATGACACGCAAATGCAGGGCAGATAACCCCGATCCCCCTGACACTCACATCGCTCTCGCGCCCGGCGAACCCCATGAGCGCCTGATACGTGTCCTCCATCACCGCCTTGCGCCCGCGTTTGCATGCCACCGCGAAGCACGCGCCGCTCTCCGCCACCTCCACCACGCCGTCCAGCGCATCCTCGGCCGCCGAATCCGGCGTGCCGGCCGGCGACGACGTGAAGCAGCCCTTACGCGGGATATCTATAGTCGGCGGCCGCTGCCGCTTGAACCGCGTTAAAGGACATGAGAGAACTGGGAGATCGCTAGCTGTGGGGCATGGTAGCGGGCTTGTGAAAGGGATTGCTTGGGGGAGAGAAACTGGGCTGGGAGATTTGCTCGTGGTGCTTCGGCTCATCGCTTCTGATGCTGGTAAAGAAGTGTGGGTATCTGGTTTTCGCACGTCTGGCTGAATCCGAGGTTCCCCTAATGAAGGAAGATGGGGAAGCGTGACACAATCGAAGGCCACGCATCGTCGCTTGGCTACCTTCCACATCCCTTCGCCGTCCCGCTCGTTGCGCGCACGTTTCGTGCTCGATACCGTGACACCCGCCGTGCCTTCTGAAAAAATCATGTGCCGCTCGGTATAGTCACGCGCAGGATCGCTACAGTCACCTGCTTCCTCGCGTAAACTCAGATCGGTGAACTCCTCGACGCTACATCCCTTGTCAGCGCCGAACGCGGGGCTCGTTACCTCCAGCTCCGGCTGGAGAACGCTGGATTCGGTATTGGACTCTATAGTTACCGACGTCGAACCGCGCGAAAGGGTTACCGAGTCAGCCGAGAGAACCGTTCTAGGCGAAGACGGGCGAAAGACTATTAGCGAGTCAGAAGACTGCGATGTCCCCACGAGAACGCTACTACTCTGTCGCTGTTGGTTACCACTGGAAATCCTGGTTACCTGGTGTTTCTTCCTTGCCGGGTACGCTGTTGACTCTGTGGCACGGCACAGGAGCCGCTTCATAACTTCCGTCTAAACCAGCAACTAAACGAATTAGTCGAGTCCGAAAGTCTCCCTAATAAGCTGCATTTACGCTGAGCCTGGTCTGGATTCAGTGTCGTGGTGGTGGAGTAGAATGAAAGAATCTAAACAGAACTGGCCAGGTTGTCTATCTGCTAGCCCTCTTGCCTCAAACAATTGAAAAGTCAACTTGAACCAGCGTGACTGGCGCTCAACCACTCCATTGGGAATGCTTTGTGGTGTGTGAGCACTGGCGAGGCGACGCGAGGCGAGGGTATCGAATCGGACGTACGTGTACGGAAGTCATTTCTCTCTGCTTATCTCACGAATGGACAGCTAAAACACCACAGGGAGCACAGCAGAACGGCGTGGAGCCCAGCCGAGCCGAGCAGCAGAGCAGAGCAGAGCAGAACCGTATGAGTCTGCCCGCCGCGCTGTTGAGTTCACTCTCATCCACCAACTCAGCTCGCGCAACTCTCAATGGGCCTCGAGTCCTCAACAAGCGGAATCCCCGCCAAGTTGGTGACGGCCAACTTCATTGATACTCAAATTATGCCAGAGACGTTTTGCATCGGTACTCAACCTCAATTTCTCATCGCTGATTGGTGCTCGCTTTTCAATCACACTTTTCACGCTAACAAGACCCCCGAAATGTGACAGAAACAAAACGCAATTACCGAACTCAAATATATACTATTGTGTCGAGGTGCTACCTAAGAATAGACAAAGCAAAACACTGAATACTCAACCCATTAAAAATTGTTTCAAGCGCAAATTGCGTAAAGATTTAAAAAAAACCATTGGGAAAAATGATGCAGACTGTGAATAACTCAACGGATTAGGGTTGACGGCACCATTAGCCCTCCGTCGACCGTGGACCTGCTGACCTCATATGGAAGAGCATTAAACCTCCTCAGATGGCATCAATTCTAAGCATCATGCGACAAGGAGTTCAGGGTTAACGCCATTCTGACTGGATGCCTTTTAGCAGGAGGGTTATTTTTATTTGCCCGCGGGTAGCAGGCTTTCTTGGGTGGTGTTGTTTGTCCAAGCAGATAATCATAAGCAGTTGACGACATCCCGTATTTAGGGTTAATATTTCCGAATTCCGTCCTGGTTATCCAAGCGTTTTAGTATGTTTCTTCTTTGTTGGGTATGTGCGGAGCTGCTGGTGGCGACATTGTTTCAGGATTGTGCTTATAAATATATATAACAATATTCTTAGTTACTATAGTGCGAAAATGTCGGCTGATTACGTTTGCAAACCGCTTCTGGCATAATTTGAGTATCAATGAAGTTGGCCGAAGTTGGTGACACCAACCAGTTAGCCAAACCAGAATCCAGGTTCCACTTCTCGCCTCGCCCGCCGTGTGCAGGCGAAGCTTTTCCTCCGAGCCTAGAGTCCAGACCAGACTCTACAGACCGTAGGCAAGTTCCTGACCTCGGTTTCGTACCAGCCAGCTCCCCCAGCCAGCCCAGACCAGTCCAGCCAATTTCGAGGCTGTCAGGAGTCACGACACGACCAAAGAGAGGGGGCGCTGACCGTCGCGACAACACCAATGAGGCCTGGCCGATGACGTGGTAAAAAAGGTCCTTTCCTGGGCGTGTGGCCCCAGGCGCCCAGCCCCATCTTGGGCAGAGCCGAACGAGGGGGTCTGGCGCACAATGCAGGTTTGCGGAAAGCGTCATCCAGGCGCAACTCTGCAATGAGATGGGGTGGACGCTCCTCTTGTGGCCAATCACATTCAAAGCGATTCGTCTAAGAGTAGGTGAAACTTGAAATATGTGGGTTTGGCAGATCCTGAGGTGGACTAGTGGGTAGCGCAATCTTCGTTAGAAGAGCAAAATGATATCCATATGCTGTACCAAATATAGAAATTCCAAATATATATACAATCAGAAATTCCACCCACGATCAGCACCATCTACAAGGCTGATGTCATCATATTCTCTCGGTGCATGGGCAATTTACATCATATCCTGGAACCGTTTGCTAATACATGAAACCATGCGAGTACCTTCCGTCATAACAAATCCCCAAACCAGACATTGAACACTTTGGGGTACCATCTGCGGACCTGGGTATTCATCAACATGGGTGTTCAATAACCTGGGTGAACATCCCCTTTTAGCATGTAGGTACTATGCCCTTCCCCTCCACACCCTTAGTATTCACATCTTATCTGCTCTGCAGTCAGAACTCTATGTGAAGCATTCCAGGTTGGACGCGCTAAAGCTACTTGAAGATGCAGTGCGGTGTTGTTTAACGAGCAGTTGGATAGATACAAGTGAGTGTATTCCTGGCTGACCAGAACAGTTCGAGAAATCTCCTACCTTTACTCTGCCTTCTCCAACTCTGCCATCCTTTCAATAATAACCTGCAGCAACAGTGCGCAAAGCAAAATCCCACATATTGGAATAGGGAAGGGATGTTTGGAAGCGAAAGCAGTAAGGGATGTTTGGAAGCGAAAGCAGTCAGCAGCAGTACGAAGCTAGTGAAAAGTAAAAAGAACTCCAAACATGACGCAACATGGCACACCTTTTTGCTTGTTTCTTGAAGCTCGCCCGCAAGCACAAACTCATCAAGGATAAGGTAAACCTACACACAAGTCACAAACGCCACCCAAGAGTAAAAGTTTTTTTGTCCAGAAATAGCAGCAGAGCAATGAGATGACAGGGAATACAGACAGAGATTTCCGGCCTCAGCCCGAAAGAATCCTACCTTGTGGAAATTAAAAACCAGGTCAAGCTCGCAGACGTTGCTGAAGAAGTGATCTAGAATCTCCACAAAGAGATGGATGCTCTCGAGGTAAGCCAGCTCGTTGTCCGTGAGGTCAACGCAGAGGGAGAAAAAGAGGCCTGCATAGCGCCGGTAGATCACCTTGTAGGTGCGGAACTGAGGAGACTCGCAGGGAATGGATTAAAAAATTTGGGAGATAAAGTGGAATGGCATCATCGGGAGGGACGAAACAGATGCCTCTGCTGATTCACGCGGTACAGGTTCACAACGGAAACAACAGAGCATACATGCCAGCAGAGCAGCAACAAGCGTACCTCGACAAAGTTTGTGAATTTGGGCTCGCGATGAACCACCAGCCGGTGAACCTGACACAGGGAAGACGCGCGGGTACGGTGGGAATAAGGAGGAGGGAGCTAAAGGTGACACATGGAAAAACAAGGGCGAAGGGTCACATTGCAATGGTGCTCTCACGCTATTGTTCAGGTTGTGACACTGGAATGTCAACACGTCCGGCCGGCACTAGCCGTATCGTATCTACTGAGCTACTCGGAACTATATGAAAAGGCGTACCTCGAATTCAAGCTTGTGCTTCTCCGAGTCCTCTAGCGGAACATAATACTTCGCCAGGCGTGTCTTTCCCTGCCGATTTTGGAGGAGAATGAACCGGATCTGCGCGGAACCAGCAAGAAGAGTATGAATGGCGTGCGGTGATGATTACGATCCAGGGCGAAACGGCGACGGGCCATGCGGCGACCAGTCCATACCATAGCAGCAGAAGCGCCACGACGACTACTATCAAATCAATGAGCGCTCAAGAGGATTTCGAAGCAGCAGAGCGGCACCTCGCAACGAGACACTTCCTGTCACTAATCTGCTGTACGCGAGTCAACTAAGCGGAGACGCGACTCCCTCAGACTAATCAGCTGGCTTCAAGCCTCAGGATGATGATGTTTCAAGATTTGTCTGATGAGGCCGCCTGCATCCACAATATAAGCATAACTTGGAACATATCTACACAGGAAAACTGTACGTTATCATCACATAGCACACACACCATATGATTCTCTACATAGAGGCCAATACTTGGCAAACCAGCAACAAACCGAGAATCACATTGCTAAGTGACCCTCCTAGGTTGAGCCTAATAATACAGCCAGATATATCTTATATTTCCGACATGATTCCGTTAGCAACGCCTGATGGACAGATATGCATCTACATATGCATCCGAGCTACGCGCATCCCAGCTGGTATCCACTGACATTGCTGTCTTGGTGATTGCTTCCCACCGTTGTGGATCGGCCTTCTGCACAGCATAGGAGAGCAGTGACAACAACGAACAAGTGCAAAGATGAACGTGAGCGGTAAGTGCATCCGCTAACAGGCATGCAACATGCATAAATCAAGGCACAGCTGCAAGTGAAAGAATAATGGCAATTGCCGCGTGGCAGCAGCACTCACGAGGAGCTTGAGGGCGCGGGTGAGGGCGATGACAGCGTCAGCCGGCTTGTCCGAGGCGTAGAAGAAACCCGCTCCCTCTGAGGCACCGCGGCGCGGGTCATCCACGTCCACTAGGCTGGTGTGGGTGGGGGAGGAGGGAGACTTGTTGATTCGTTGTGCACTAGTTACGACAAGCTGGCCGAGCAGGGCGGTGAGAAGGGGAAGGAAGGCAGTAGAAGAAACCCGCTCCCTCCAAAGCGCCACGGCGAGGGTCACCCACGTCCACTAGGCTGGTGGGGGGGAGTGGGAGAGAGATATACGAGATGCTGAATTGACGTGCACTGGTCAGAGAGAAGAGAGTCTACTCACAGATTCAGGCAGTGAGAGGGGGAAGAGAGGCGAGGGACAAGGCAAGGCAGCATGCAACGATGCATAGAGATTGGAACCTTTGTTGTGTCGACAAGCTTAAAGATGATCCCACAAGTCAGCCGCCAGAGTCAGTTGAACAATCCAAGTGCATGTGCCCTGGCAGCTGTACGGTGCATGCCCGTGTGACTGACCTGTCAGGTGATCCCATTAGCTGACGGGCCACAGGCACGGCGCCGTAGCGCGCCCCCACCAGCTGCGGTGCAGAACAGGGGTATGGGGAGGAGCGGAGGGTGAGTGGGATGGGGGGGATGGAGAGCGCAGTGCAGAACAGAGGTGGGGAGGAATGGAGGGAAAGGGGGATAAGGGGAATGGAGATCGCAACAAGTATGGCGGGCCACAGGCATGGGGTGATCCAGCAGTGGGGGTCGCAGGGGCGCATGCTGTTACGTTGCTAGGGTTTTACGCTGTTACGCTGTTAGGCTGTTCCGATGTTAGGCTGTTAGGCTGTTACACTGTTACGCTGTTAGGCTGTTACGCTGTTAGGATGTTAGACTGTTGCGCTGTGACGCTGTTTGGCTGTTACGCTGTTAGGCTGTAAAGCTGTAACGCTGTTAGGCTGTTACGCTGTTAGGCTGTTAGGCTGGTACGCCATTAGGCGGTTAGGCTGTTAGGCTGTTACGCTGTTAGGCTGATACGCTGTAAGGCTATAAGGCTGTTACTTTGTTAGGCTGTTACGCTGTTACTCTGTTAGGCTGTTACGCTGTTAAGCTGTTACGTTGTTAGGCTGTTACGCTGTCAGGCTGTTAGGCTGTTACGCTGTAAGGCTGTTACGCTGTTAGGATGTTACGCTGTTAGGCTGTTAGGCTATTACGCTGTTAGGCTGTTACGATGTTAGGCTGTTACGCTGTTAGGCTGTTACGCTGTTAGGCTGTTACGCTGTTAGGCTGTTAAGCTGTTACGTTGTTACGCTGTTACGTTGTTACGCTGTTACGCTGTTAGGCTGTTACGTTGTTAGGCTGTTAGGCTGTTAGGCTATTAGGCTCTTAGGCTGTTAGGCAATTACGCAGTTAGGCTATTACGCTGTTGCGCTGTTAGGCTGTTAGGCTGTTACGCTGTTAGGCTCATACGCTGTAAGGCTATAAGGCTGTTACTTTGTTAGGCTGTTACGCCGTTACTCTGTTAGGCTGTTACGCTGTTACTCTGTTAGGCTGTTACGCTGTTAAGCTGTTACGTTGTTAGGCTGTTACGCTGTCAGGCTGTTAGGCTGTTACGCTGTAAGGCTGTTACGCTGTTAGGCTGTTAGGCTGTTAGGCTATTACGCTGTTAGGCTGTTAGGCTGTTATGATGTTAGGCTGTTACGCTGTTAGGCTGTTACGCTGTTACGCTGTTACGCTGTTAGGCTGTTAAGCTGTTACGTTGTTACGTTGTTACGCTGTTAGGCTGTTACGTTGTTAGGCTGTTAGGCTGTTAGGCTATTAGGCTCTTAGGCTATTAGTCTGTTAGGCAATTACGCAGTTAGGCTATTACGCAGTTAGGCTATTACGCTGTTGCGCTGTTACGTTATTACGCTGTTACCCTGTTAAGCTGTTAGGCTGTTACGCTGTTAGGCTGTTAGGCTGTAACACTGTTAGGCTGTTACGCTGTTAGGCTGTTACGCTGTTAGGTTGTAAGGCTATTAGGCTGATACGCTGTTACGCTGTTAGGCTGTTACGCTGTTGCACTGTTACGCTGTTACGCTGTTAGACTGTTATGCTGTAAGGCTGTTAGGCTGTCACACTGTTAAGCTGTTAAGCTGATAGGCTGTTACGCTGTTAGGCTGTTACGCTGTTACGCTGTCACGCTGTTAGGCTGTTAGGCTGTTACGCAGTTAGGCTGTTAGGCTATTACGCTGTTAGGCTATTAGGCTGTTACGATGTTAGGCTGTTACGCTGTTAGGCTGTTACGCTGTTAGGCTGTTACGCTATTACGCTGTCACGCTGTTACGCTGTTAGGCTGTTAGGCTGTTACGCTGTTAGGCTGTTAGGCTATTACGCTGTTAGGCCGTTAGGCTGTTACGATGTTAGGCTGTTACGCTGTTAGGCTGTTACGCTGTTATGCTGTTAAGCTGTTACATTGTTACGCTGTTACGTTGTTAGGCTGTTAGGCTGTTAGGCTATTAGGCTATTAGGCTGTTAGGCTGTTAGGCTGTTACGCTGTTAGGCTGTTACGCTATTAGGCTGTTACGTTGTAGGCTGTTACGCTGTTACACTGTTAGGCTGTTAGGCTGTTCGGCTGTTACGCTGTTAGGCTGTTACGCTGTTAGGCTGTTACGCTGTTACGCTGTTAGGCTGTTGGGCTGTTACGCTTTAGGCTGTTAGGCTTTTACGTTGTTACGCTGTTACGCTGTTAGGTTGTTACGCTGTTACGCTGTTTGGCTGTGTGGCTGTTAGGCTGTTAGGCTGTTACGTTGTTACGTTGTTACGCTGTTACGCTGTTAGGCTGTTAGGATGTTAGGCTGTTAGGCTGTACTACACTTACGCTGTTACGCTGTTAGGCTGTTAGGCTGTTAGGCTGTTACGCTGTTAGGCTGTTAGGCTGCTAGGTTGTTAGGCTGTTAGGCAATTATGCAGTTAGGCTATTACGCAGTTAGGCTATTACGCTGTTGCGCTGTTACGTTATTACGCTGTTACCCTGTTAAGCTGTTAGGCTGTTACGCTGTTAGGCTGTTAGGCTGTAACGCTGTTAGGCTGTTACGCTGTTAGGTTGTAAAGCTATTAGGCTGATACGCTGTTACGCTGTTACGCTGTTAGGCTGTTACGCTGTTGCACTGTTACGCTGTTACGCTGTTAGACTGTTACGCTGTTAGGCTGTTAGGCTGTCACACTGTTAAGCTGTTAAGCTGTTAGGCTGTTACGCTGTTAGGCTGTTACGCTGTTACGCTGTCACGCTGTTAGGCTGTTAGGCTGTTACGCTGTTAGGCTGTTAGGCTGTTAGGCTGTTAGGTTGTCAAGCTGTTACGCTGTTAGGCTGTTAAGCTGTTAGGCTGTTAGAGAAAGCATCCTTGCGGCAATCCAAGCTCGCACTGAAAGGTACGCGTGAGGGCACTGACCGGCAAGTGTGAGGAGGGGTCGCGGAGGGGCGGGCAGAGCAGCACGTGTGCCGCCGCCACCACCAGATGCGCCAAATCATCCTCGTACACGATCTCCACGTGTGCATTGCGGTCCTGATGGGTGGTTGGTGGGGGGAGATAGAGAGAGATTTGAGTCGACTCAGAGCCGACACACCTCCCAGCACACCTGCTTGACACATCCACCACCCTGCTCAATGCTTTGCAGCTCTCCCTGTGCCCCCTCTCAAAGCATGTACATTTTTCCTAGCTCTCCTTTGCACCCATCACCTGCTGCACCGATCTGCACCCATCGCCTCACCTGCTGCACCGCTCTGCACCCATCGCCTCACCTGCTGCACCCTCTGCAGTTCCTCGAGGGCCATCTGCACCTTGGGCGACCGTGCTGCCCCCACCAGCACAAACTGCACAGAGGGGTGGGGAGAGGGAAGGTGGAGAGATGGGCGAGTGAAAGATCTGCCGAGACGAGAGGAGACAGAGAGTAGCGGATGGAGGGCAGTACAAGACAGGGCAAGGGAAGAAGAAAGGGAAAGCGTCCTGACCAACCTCGGCATGTGAAACCCCCCTGACGCACCTGGGCCTGGTAGGCGAGGGAGCATGCGAGCGCCCCCTTGATGAGCTCCACATCCGCCTCGCCTATCTGAGGCGACACATACGCCACCACTGCCCTCTCCAACCCCGATGCCGAGTCTATCACTGGCAGCCCGAGCCTCTTCCGAACCTCCGCCCGAGCCACGGCCTTGCCAGGCATGGGATCCGAGGCTGCGAGCGGCACAGGGAGTGCGAGGTCCCGGGTCGGGTCCCATACGAACTGGTCGAGTCCGGAGGGCAGACCAGCGAACTTCTGGCTGCGGGTTGGAGGAAGTGGATGGTTGAACGGGAGGACACACAGAGACAGCACAATTGGTTTGTATGTCTCGCATTGGGGTCCTGGAGGACGGATTCAGACTATACTGTAGGGACAGGGATAACGACAGCGAGCAGGCGGGCCCAATATTGGAAGAGTGGCAGGATAAAGCTGCAAGGGGAATCTATCGTGAAGGAGGCGCGGTCTGGCTGCAGTGGCGGGGTAGAGTGGGCACCCACCTGTGGATGGCGACAGTGGCACCCACCTGTGGATGGCGACAGTGGCACCCACCTGTGGATGGCGACGGTGGCATCGAGGCCGCAGCCGAGCTCACGGGTCTTCATGTCACTGGCATATGTGGGCGACACCGTTGTTACCTTGTTGGAATACACGATGCCTCCCTGTGGTGCGGGGATAGAGGGAAGGGGAAAGAGGAGAGGGATGGAGGGCAGAGGAGGGCGAGACTGTGGTGACATTGGGTGACAGTGTGGTGACCTTGTTGGAATACACAATGCCGCCCTGTCGTGCGGGGACAGGGGGTGGGCGGCAGAGAGGCGGGAGTGAGGGGCAGGGGTGGCTCCTGAGTCGACTGATGAGGCATATGCGCGTGACACTGTGTGGTGACCTTGCTGGAACACATGCGGCCAGGGTTGTGACCCATGGGTTGAGGCATGTGAGAGGAGCAGGGCGCACCTTGAGCAGGGCGCACCTTGAGCAGGGCGCACCTTGAGCAGGGCGCACCTTGAGCAGGGCGCACCTTGAGCAGGGCGCACCTTGAGCAGGGCGCACCTTGAGCAGGGCGCACCTTGAGCAGGGCGCACCTTGAGCAGGGCGCACCTTGAGCAGGGCGCACCTTGAGCAGGGCGCACCTTGAGCAGGGCGCACCTTGAGCAGGGCGCACCTTGAGCAGGGCACACCTTGAGCAGGGCGCACCTTGAGCAGGGCGCACCTTGAGCAGGGCGCACCTTGAGCAGGGCGCACCTTGAGCAGAGCGCACCTTGAGCAGGGCACACCTTGAGCAGAGCGCACCTTGAGCAGGGCGCACCTTGAGCAGGGCACACCTTGAGCAGAGCGCACCTTGAGCAGGGCACACCTTGAGCAGGGCCCACCTTGAGCAGGGCACACCTTGAGCAGGGCACACCTTGAGCAGGGCACACCTTGAGCAGTGCACACCTTGAGCAGGGCACACCTTGAGCAGGGCGCACCTTGAGCAGGGCGCACCTTGAGCAGGGCGCACCTTGAGCAGGGCGCACCTTGAGCAGGGCACACCTTGAGCAGGGCGCACCTTGAGCAGGGCGCACCTTGAGCAGGGCACACCTTGAGCAGGGCACACCTTGAGCAGGGCACACCTTGAGCAGAGCGCACCTTGAGCAGGGCGCACCTTGAGCAGGGCACACCTTGAGCAGGGCACACCTTGAGCAGGGCACACCTTGAGCAGGGCGCACCTTGAGCAGGGCACACCATGAGCAGGGCGCACCTTGAGCAGGGCGCACCTTGAGCAGGGCACACCTTGAGCAGGGCGCACCTTGAGCAGGGCACACCTTGAGCAGAGCGCACCTTGAGCAGGGCGCACCTTGAGCAGGGCACACCTTGAGCAGGGCACACCTTGAGCAGGGCACACCTTGAGCAGGGCACACCTTGAGCAGTGCACACCTTGAGCAGGGCACACCTTGAGCAGGGCGCACCTTGAGCAGGGCGCACCTTGAGCAGGGCGCACCTTGAGCAGGGCGCACCTTGAGCAGGGCACACCTTGAGCAGGGCGCACCTTGAGCAGGGCGCACCTTGAGCAGGGCACACCTTGAGCAGGGCGCACCTTGAGCAGGGCACACCTTGAGCAGAGCGCACCTTGAGCAGGGCGCACCTTGAGCAGGGCACACCTTGAGCAGGGCACACCTTGAGCAGGGCACACCTTGAGCAGGGCACACCTTGAGCAGTGCACACCTTGAGCAGGGAACACCTTGAGCAGGGCGCACCTTGAGCAGGGCACACCTCGAGCAGGGCGCACCTTGAGCAGGGCACACCTTGAGCAGGTCGCACCTTGAGCAGGTTGATGAGGGAGGGGTCGCGGTTGTCCTGCAGTCTGTCAGGGCGGTTCAGCTGCGACGGGTCCAGCCCCACCTGTGCCAGCTTGCCCGCCGGCTGGGCGTTCTGTGGAGGGTGAGGGAAAGCACAGGGGGGGGTTGTACGGCATTGGCCGGTGTGACGAGGTGAGGTGAGAGAGCACGAGGCAAGGCGGTTCAGCTACGACGGGTCCAGCCCCACCAGCGCCAGCTTGCCCGCTGGCTGGGCGTTCTGTGGAAAGAGTGAGGGAGCGCCCAGGGGAGATGGCATGCGGTGCGGATTGGGGGGTGTGAGGAGGTTTGGAGTGGGGAATCGGGGATGTGAGGAGATGGGGTGAGAGAGCAAGAGGCAAGACGGTCCGCTGGAGGGCGTCATGCCAGGAGCGCCAGGAGGCATAGCTGGCTGCGGTGCACGTGAGCACAGAGCTCACGCCAGAGCAGCAGGGCAACGTTCCCCATGCTGTGTTTGCCTTTGGTTGAAAAGTTGAATGTGAATGAATGGGGGCGATGAAGCAGGAAACCGGGAAGCCGGGAAACCGGGATACCGGGAAACCGGGAAACCGGGAAACCGGGAAACCGGGAAACCGGAATACCGGGAAACCGGGAAACCGGGATACCGGGAAACCGGGATACCGGGATACCGGAAAACCGGGAAACTGGGAAACCGGGAACCGGGAAGCCGGGAAGCCGGGAATCCAGGAAACCGGGATACCGGGAAACCGGGAAACCGGGATACCGGGAAACCGGGAAAACGGGATACCGGGAAACCGGGAAACCGGGAAACTGGGAAACCTGGAAACCGGGAAACCGGGATACGGGAAGCCGGGAAGCCGGGAAACCGGGAAGCCGGGAAACCGGGATAACGGGATACCGGGATACCGGGAAACCGGGAAACCGGGAAGCCGGGAAGCCGGGAAGCCGGGATACCGGGAAACCGAGAAACCGGGATACCGGGATACCGGGAAACTGGGAAACCGGGATACCGGGAAACCGTGAAGCCGAGAAGCCGGGAAGCCGGGAAACCGGGAAACCGGGACACCGGGAAACCGGGATATCGGGAAACCGGAAAACCGGGATGCCGGGATGCCGGGAAACCGGGAAACCGGGAAACCGGGATACCGGGAAGCCGGGAAGCCGGGAAGCCGGGAAGCCGGGAAGCTGGGATACCGGGAAACCGAGAAACCGGGATACCGGGATACCGGGAAACCGGGAAACCGGGATACCGGGAAACCGGGAAACCGGGAAACCGGGAAACCGGGAAACCGGGAAACCGGGATGCCGGGAAACCGGGAAGCTGGGAAGCCGGGAAGCCGGGAAACCGGGAAACCGGGAAACCGGGAAACCGGGAAACCGGGATACCGGGATACCGGGAAACCGGGAAACCGGGAAGCCGAAGCCGGGAAGCCGGGAAGCCGGGATACCGGGAAACCGAGAAACCGGGATACCGGGATACTGGGAAACCGGGAAACCGGGATACCGGGAAACCGGGAAACCGGGAAACCGGGAAACCGGGATGCCGGGAAACCAGGAAACCGGGAAACCAGGAAACCGGGAAACCGGGAAACCGGGAAACCGGGAAATCGGGAAACCAGGAAACCGGGAAACCTGGAAACCGGGATACCGGGATACCGGGAAACCGGGAAATCAGGAAACCGGGAAACCGGGAAACCGGGAAACCGGGAAACCAGGAAGCCGGGAAGCCGGGATACCGGGATACCGGGAGGGGAAACCGGGATACCGGGAAACCGGGAAACCGGGATGCCGGGAAACCGGGATGTCGGGAAACCGGGAAACCGGGATACCGGGAAACCTGGAAACCAGGAAACCGGGAAGCCGGGAAGCCGGGAAACCGGGATACCGGGAAGCCGGGAAGCCGGGATACCGGGAAACCGTGAAACCGGAAAACCGGGAAACCGGGAAATTGGGAAACCGGGAAACCGGGATACCGGGATACCGGGAAACCGGGAAACTGGGAAACCAGGAACCGGGAAGCCGGGAATCCAGGACACCGGGAAACCAGGAAACCGGGATACCGGGAAATCGGGAAACCGGGAAACCGGGAAACCGGGAAACCGGGAAGCCTGGAAGCCGGGATACCGGGAAACCGGGAAACCGGGATACCGGGAAACCGGGAAACCGGGATACCGGGAAACCGGGAAAACGGGATATCGGGAAACCGGGAAACCGGGAAACCTGGAAACCGGGAAACCTGGAAACCGGGAAACGGGAAGCCGGGAAGCCGGGAAGCCGGGAAACCGGGAAGCCGGGAAACCGGGATACCGGGATACCGGGATACCGGGAAACCGGGAAACCGGGAAGCCGGGAAGCCGGGAAGCCGGGATACCGGGAAACCGAGAAACCGGGATACCGGGATACCGGGAAACCGGGAAACCGGGATACCGGGAAACCGGGAAACCGGGAAACCGGGATATCGGGAAACCGGGAAACCGGGATGCCGGGATGCCGGGAAACCGGGAAACCGGGATACCGGGAAGCCGGGAAGCCGGGGAGCCGGGAAGCCGGGATACCGGGAAACCGAGCAACCAGGATACCGGGATACCGGGAAACCGAGAAACCGGGATACCGGGAAACCGGGAAACCGGGAAACCGGGAAACCGGGAAACCGGGAAACCGGGAAACCGGGATGCCGGGAAGCTGGGAAGCCGGGAAGCCGGGAAACCGAGAAACCGGGAAACCGGGAAACCGGGATACGGGGATACCGGGAAACCGGGAAACCGGGAAGCCGGGAAGCCGGGAAGCCGGGAAGCCGGGATACCGGGAAACCGAGAAACCGAGATACCGGGATACCGGGAAACCGGGAAACCGGGAAACCGGGAAACCGGGATGCCGGGAAACCGGGATGCCGGGAAACCGGGAAATCGGGAAACCAGGAAACCGGGAAACCTGGAAACCGGGATACCGGGATACCGGGAAACCGGGAAATCGGGAAATCGGGAAATCGGGAAACCGGGATACCGGGAAACCTGGAAACCAGGAAACCGGGAAGCCGGGAAGCCGGGACACCGGGATACCGGGATACCGGGAAGCCGGGAAGCCGGGATACCGGGAAACCGTGAAACCGGGAAACCGGGAAACCGGGAAATTGGGAAACCGGGAAACCGGGAAACCGGGTAACCGGGATACCGGGAAACCGGGAAACCGGGAAGCCGAGAAGCCGGGATACCGGGATACCGGGAAACCGGGAAACCGGGAAACCGGGATACCGGGATACCGGGAAACCGGGAAACCGGGAAGCCGGGAAGCCGGGATACCGGGAAACCGAGAAGCCAGGATACCGGGAAACCGGGAAACCGGGATTCCGGGAAACCGGGAAACTGGGAAACCGGGAAACCGGGATGCCGGGAAACCGGGAAACCGGGACACCGGGAAACCGGGAAATCGGGAAACCAGGAAACCGGGAAACCTGGAAACCGGGATACCGGGATACCGGGAAACCGGGAAATCGGGAAACCGGGAAACCGGGGAAACCGGGAAGGCGGGAAGCCGGGATACTGGGATACCGGGAAACCGGGAAACCGGGAAACCAGGAAACCGGGAAACCGGGATACCGGGATACCGGGAAACCGGGAAACCGGGAAGCCGGGAAGCCGGGAAGCCGGGATACCGGGATACCGGGAAGCCGGGAAGCCGGGATACCGGGAAACCGGGAAACCGCGAAACCGGGAAACTGGGAAACCGGGAAACCGGGAAACCGGGATACCGGGAAACCGGGAAGCCTGGATACCGGGATACCGGGATACCGGGAAACCGGGATACCGGGAAACCGGGAAACCGGGAAACCGGGAAACCGGGAAACCGGGAAGCCGGGAAGCCGGGATACCGGGATACCGGGAAACCGGGAAACCGGGAAACCGGGAAACCGGGAAACCGGGATGCCGGGAAACCGGGAAACCGGGAAACCGGGAAACCGGGATACCGGGAAACCTGGAACCCGGGAAACCGGGAAGCCGGGAAGCCGGGAAACCGGAAAACCGGGATACCGGGAAGCCGGGAAGCCGGGATACCGGGAAACCGGGAAACCGGGAATCCGGGACACCGGGAAACCGGGAAACCGGGAAACCGGGATACCGGGAAACCGGGAAGCCGGGAAGCCGGGATATCGGGATACCGGGAAACCGGGAAACCGGGAAACTGGGATACGGGGAAACCGGGAAACCGAGAAACCGGGAATCCGGGAAACCGGGATACCGGGAAACGGGGAAACAGGGAAACCGGGAATCCGGGAAGCCGGGAAGCCGGGATATTGGGAAACCGAGAAACCGGGTTACCGGGATACCGGGATACTGGGAAACCGGGATACCGGGAAACCGGGAAACCGGGAAACCGGGAAACCGGGATGCCGGGAAACCGGGAAACCGGGAAACCGGGATGCCGGGAAACCAGGAAACCGGGAAACCAGGAAACCGGGAAACCGGGAAACCGGGAAACCGGGAAATCGGGAAACCAGGAAACCGGGAAACCTGGAAACCGGGATACCGGGATACCGGGAAACCGGGAAATCGGGAAACCGGGAAACCGGGAAACCGGGAAACCGGGAAACCAGGAAGCCGGGAAGCCGGGATACCGGGATACCGGGAGGGGAAACCGGGATACCGGGAAACCGGGAAACCGGGATGCCGGGAAACCGGGATGTCGGGAAACCGGGAAACCGGGATACCGGGAAACCTGGAAACCAGGAAACCGGGAAGCCGGGAAGCCGGGAAACCGGGATACCGGGATACCGGGAAGCCGGGAAGCCGGGATACCGGGAAACCGTGAAACCGGAAAACCGGGAAACCGGGAAATTGGGAAACCGGGAAACCGGGATACCGGGATACCGGGAAACCGGGAAACTGGGAAACCAGGAACCGGGAAGCCGGGAATCCAGGACACCGGGAAACCAGGAAACCGGGATACCGGGAAATCGGGAAACCGGGAAACCGGGAAACCGGGAAACCGGGAAGCCTGGAAGCCGGGATACCGGGAAACCGGGAAACCGGGATACCGGGAAACCGGGAAACCGGGATACCGGGAAACCGGGAAAACGGGATATCGGGAAACCGGGAAACCGGGAAACCTGGAAACCGGGAAACCTGGAAACCGGGAAACGGGAAGCCGGGAAGCCGGGAAGCCGGGAAACCGGGAAGCCGGGAAACCGGGATACCGGGATACCGGGATACCGGGAAACCGGGAAACCGGGAAGCCGGGAAGCCGGGAAGCCGGGATACCGGGAAACCGAGAAACCGGGATACCGGGATACCGGGAAACCGGGAAACCGGGATACCGGGAAACCGGGAAACCGGGAAACCGGGATATCGGGAAACCGGGAAACCGGGATGCCGGGATGCCGGGAAACCGGGAAACCGGGATACCGGGAAGCCGGGAAGCCGGGAAGCCGGGGAGCCGGGAAGCCGGGAAGCCGGGATACCGGGAAACCGAGCAACCAGGATACCGGGATACCGGGAAACCGAGAAACCGGGATACCGGGAAACCGGGAAACCGGGAAACCGGGAAACCGGGAAACCGGGAAACCGGGATGCCGGGAAGCTGGGAAGCCGGGAAGCCGGGAAACCGAGAAACCGGGAAACCGGGAAACCGGGATACGGGGATACCGGGAAACCGGGAAACCGGGAAGCCGGGAAGCCGGGAAGCCGGGAAGCCGGGATACCGGGAAACCGAGAAACCGGGATACCGGGATACCGGGAAACCGGGAAACCGGGAAACCGGGAAACCGGGATGCCGGGAAACCGGGATGCCGGGAAACCGGGAAATCGGGAAACCAGGAAACCGGGAAACCTGGAAACCGGGATACCGGGATACCGGGAAACCGGGAAATCGGGAAATCGGGAAATCGGGAAACCGGGATACCGGGAAACCTGGAAACCAGGAAACCGGGAAGCCGGGAAGCCGGGACACCGGGATACCGGGATACCGGGAAGCCGGGAAGCCGGGATACCGGGAAACCGTGAAACCGGGAAACCGGGAAACCGGGAAATTGGGAAACCGGGAAACCGGGAAACCGGGTAACCGGGATACCGGGAAACCGGGAAACCGGGAAGCCGAGAAGCCGGGATACCGGGATACCGGGAAACCGGGAAACCGGGAAACCGGGATACCGGGATACCGGGAAACCGGGAAACCGGGAAGCCGGGAAGCCGGGATACCGGGAAACCGAGAAACCAGGATACCGGGAAACCGGGAAACCGGGATTCCGGGAAACCGGGAAACTGGGAAACCGGGAAACCGGGATGCCGGGAAACCGGGAAACCGGGACACCGGGAAACCGGGAAATCGGGAAACCAGGGAACCGGGAAACCTGGAAACCGGGATACCGGGATACCGGGAAACAGGGAAATCGGGAAACCGGGAAACCGGGGAAACCGGGAAGGCGGGAAGCCGGGATACTGGGATACCGGGAAACCGGGAAACCGGGAAACCGGGAAACCGGGAAACCGGGATACCGGGATACCGGGAAACCGGGAAACCGGGAAGCCGGGAAGCCGGGAAGCCGGGATACCGGGATACCGGGAAGCCGGGAAGCCGGGATACCGGGAAACCGGGAAACCGCGAAACCGGGAAACTGGGAAACCGGGAAACTGGGAAACCGGGATACCGGGAAACCGGGAAGCCTGGATACCGGGATACCGGGATACCGGGAAACCGGGATACCGGGAAACCGGGAAACCGGGAAACCGGGAAACCGGGAAACCGGGAAGCCGGGAAGCCGGGATACCGGGATACCGGGAAACCGGGAAACCGGGAAACCGGGAAACCGGGAAACCGGGATGCCGGGAAACCGGGAAACCGGGAAACCGGGAAACCGGGATACCGGGAAACCTGGAACCCGGGAAACCGGGAAGCCGGGAAGCCGGGAAACCGGAAAACCGGGATACCGGGAAGCCGGGAAGCCGGGATACCGGGAAACCGGGAAACCGGGAATCCGGGACACCGGGAAACCGGGAAACCGGGAAACCGGGATACCGGGAAACCGGGAAGCCGGGAAGCCGGGATATCGGGATACCGGGAAACCGGGAAACCGGGAAACTGGGATACGGGGAAACCGGGAAACCGAGAAACCGGGAATCCGGGAAACCGGGATACCGGGAAACGGGGAAACAGGGAAACCGGGAATCCGGGAAGCCGGGAAGCCGGGATATTGGGAAACCGAGAAACCGGGATACCGGGATACCGGGATACCGGGAAACCGGGATACCGGGAAACCGGGAAACCGGGAAACCGGGAAACCGGGATGCCGGGAAACCGGGAAACCGGGAAACCGGGAAGCCGGGAAGCCGGGATACCGGGAAAGTGAGATACCGGGATACCGGGATACCGGGAAACCGGAATACCGGGATACCGGGAAACCGGGAAACCGGGAAACCGGGAAACCGGGAAACCGGGATACCGGGATACCGGGATACCGGGAAACCAGGAAACCGGGAAACCGGGAAACCGGGAAGCCGGGAAGCCGGGATACCGGGATACCGGGAAACCGGGAAGCCGGGATGCCGGGAAACCGGGAAACCGGGATACCGGGAAACCGGGAAACCGGGATGCCGGGATGCCGGGAAACCGGGAAACCTGGAAACCGGGAAACCGGGAAACCGGGATACCGGGAAACCTGGGAACCGGGATACTGGGAAACCGGGAAACCGGGAAGCCGGGAAGCCGGGATACTGGGATACCGGGAAACCGGGAAACAGGGACACGGGGAAACCGGGAAACCGGGAAACCGGGAAACGGGGATACCGGGGAACCTGGGAACCTGGGAACCGGGAAACCGGGAAGCCGGGAAGCCGGGATACCGGGATACCGCGAAACCGCGATATTGGGATACTGGGAAACCGGGAAACCGGAAAACCGGGAAGGGAATATGTAGCAGCGAGCAGCAGCTGTACCTGCAACCAGGTGTTACCTGGAAGCGGGCGTCATGGCAGGTGAAGAGGATGCGGGTATCGGGCATGCCCTGGTGGTGGTAGATGTCCCAGAACAGCGGTGCGCCCACCGCCGTGTGCCAGTTGTGCAGATGCAGCACGTCCGGCTGCTTGCCCTGCTGCTGCACGTACTCCAACGCTGCCCGCGTGAAGTAGGTGAAGCTGAGGGGGGAAGAAGGTGGAGGGGAAGGGAGAGCGGAGAGCATGGGGAAAAAGCAAGTAAGGAAGTATTGATAAGGCAGTTGGAAATCAGCAAGAAAATTCTGAAAAAAATAATAATTTATTTCAGCAAGCCGTTCATGCCTGCCTTTCCCTGCTGCTGCACGTACTCCAGCGCTGCCCGCGTGAAGTATGCGAAGCTGTGGGGAGGGGGAGGGGACGGGTGGATGAGAAAGGGTGCATGGGAAAGGTCGGGCAGTGGTGGTTGGTAAGCAGGCCTCTAATTCTTGCCTTGCCCTACTGCTGCACGAATTCCTGCACTGCCCACGTGAAGTACGTGAAGCTGGGGAAGGGCCCGTTTTTTCAAGACCACTTAAAGAACCAGTGCGCTGCAATGCTTACAGCTCACAGTCACCCCCCACCACTCACGATCACCTCACCGCTCAACGTTTGTGTGGTGCGTGCATGGCTCACCGCTCAAAGTCGTCCTCATAGTCGTAGAGGTGGTCCCTCTGGAAGAAGGCCGCTGGGTGCAGCGGGTGGATGAACGTCACTGGCAGCCCGTGCACCGTGCTGTGGGGGAGGGGGGGGAGTAGGCAGGCAGGCAGGCACGCAAACAGTACGAGCAATACATGGAGGGCACTTAGTAAGGCACAAGAACGAGTCAGCATGGCAGCAAGGCAGGCAAAGGTAGTACAAGAAGACTGGGTTGCAAGCACATATGAACAAGTGCTGGCTTTGTCTGGACACCTTGACACTACCACAATTACCAAACACGAGTGTGCCACCCACCCGGTGTAGATCTTATTCTTGTGCCACTTGTTATCGAAGAATGACATGATCTCGCCCGGCGCCTCTCTGAAGTCCTCGATGGCACTCGTGTCCACACTTGAGTACCTGCCGGGTAGCATGGCGGGCGGAGATGGCGTGAGTGTGTGGGGGGAGAAGGGGGGGGGGGTTGATTTCAGCACACTTCCTAACGCCTCGCTGAACGGTGCAATGGCTAGTGAGATGTATGCAGTGCAGGGTGCACAGGAGGATGGATGCGGGGTTGCTAGCAAGCAGGGGAAACGAGTGGGGAGGGGAGCAGTGGGTGATGGCAGAACAGGATAAAAACGGCACAGCAGGTCGCCTCGTTCAACAAAGAAGGAGACAAGACGCTCAGCACACGTGGCTTACAGCGGCAGCACCACCTCCACGAGGTGGCCCTTCTTGCGGAGTGCGCGGCACAGCCCCGCCATCCACGTGGCTAGCGACCCCGCCTGGGCCACTGGCGCGAGCTCCGTGCACACGTGCACCACGTGCAGTGTCCTGTGTGAGGGGGAGAGGGGAGCGGAGGTGGAGGGGAAGAAGTTGATGTTGGCATGAAGAGGGGATAAGGATGGGATGGGTGGTAAGTGCGAATGAGCGTTTCCACCACCAGGAGCACCTCCAGCACATATGGTCGTTTCCAATAACAGTAACAACCGCCTTGGCACTCACCATCTCTTCCTTCTCCCTCCATTTTCTTCCCTTCAACTTTACCCCTTTCTTTCCCTTCACCCCTCCCTTATCCCTCACCTCCTCCCTTTCCTCTCAACCCTTTTCCCTTTGTCTCCCGCTGCCTCCCCTTACAACTTCCCCCCCCTACCCCCACCCCCCGCACCTGTTACTGCCATCAATCAGTCGCAGCAGCGCGCGCACCACCTGCGCGTCCTCCAGCGGCTCCACGTCAGCGTACACGTCAGCAGCGCGGGCATCCCTAGAGGCAGCGAGCCCTCTTAGCGCCTGCGCCTGCGGGGCGGTGAGCGCCTTGGCGAGCAGCAGCCCGTCCACGCGCAGCAGCAGCCGGCTCCACACGGACGCCGGCTCCCCCGCCCTGCCACCCGCCTTGCCGCTCGCTTTGCTGCCCGGAGCGGTAGTTACTGAACGCGTGGGGCTGCTGGGTGCTGCAGACAGCAAGGGGGGTGGGGTGGGTTGGGTGGGGGGAGGGGGTGGGGTGCGGGTTGGCAAGGACAAGTGGTGAGCGCCTTGGTGAGCAGCAGCCCGTCCACGCGCAGCAGCAGGCGACTCCACACGGACGCCGGTTCCTCCGCCCGGCTGCCCGCCTTGCTGCCCGCCTTGCTGCCCGCCTTGCTGCCCGCCTTGCTGCCCGCCTTGCTGCCCGCCTTGCTGCTCGCTGCTGAGCGGGTGGGGCTGACGCTGCTGCTGGGTGCTGCAGGCAGCAAGAGGTTCGGGGTTGGGTGGGGGTGAGAGTGGGGGTGTCGGGGTTGGGAGGGGAGGGGGTTGCAGGATGAGGGGTGAGGCAACAGATAGGAGCGGCACACGCACCCCCTCGCTACCTTTCAGCGCTTCAAAACGCTTCACCTGTGCGCCGATCCCTATGCGCGCTGCACTTAGCCTCTCCGCCAGCAGAACCCTCGGCTCTACCCTTGTGCGCAGACTCTCCCTCGAGATTTCACTCCAAGGTTTGCTCAATCAGCGCAGACCCCGGCCCTCCCAGCCCTCACCTGCGGCGACCCCCAGCTCCGCGGCTCTCAGGCGCTCCTCCAGCAGCTTGCGCTGCGCCTCCCCCGCCTCCGCCTCCGCCTGCAGTTGCGCGACGCGCGCCGCCAGGTACTCGCGCTCCGCCTCCGCCTTGTGCAGCTCGTCCAGCGCGATGAGGCGCTGCTTGTTCAGGTACAGCATGTCTGGGGGAGGGGGGGAAAGGGGACGAGCGGAAAGGGGAGAATGGAAACGGGGATGGGAAGGGGGAGACGTTTCAAAAGCTATAGTTGTGCTGCTTGTTCAGGTACAGCATGTCGGGTGTGTGGGGGGGAGAGATGAGGTGCAGCATGCGTTGCGGAGGGGGATCGGGATGAGGGAGAGGAGGAGGCGAATGCACATTGACGGAAGCATAGATCCGAAAATTTCTGGTAAGTTGGAGCGACGCGGGAACAGCACACACTGCACTGGCTATCAGGACTTTATCACTGCGTCAGAGCCGCGCGCGGAGCGTGTTTAACGAATTTAATGGCCACGATTTACTTGGCAGCAGGGCGATCTGTTGGTGTGGGACCTACTCTGTTGCGCGTCGTTGAAGAGTTTCATCATGTCGCCGCCTGAAGCCTTCCCCGACGCGTTCGGCGACACCTGCAAAGTGGTTACAGATTGTTAGGCGACTATTACCCAGACTCGTATTGGGTGGACGTAAGCGGTGCTGCATGGAATCGACAATGCGACGCTGCTAGATTGCATTGAACAGCAGATCCTTACTTTGATTCCATCCAGTTCGTTGGCCGACTGGCTGCGTGGGAGAGAAACCGGGAGAAATGGACAAAAGGGAAAGCATACAGAAAATTAAATGATAATGAATGAGTGATGAGGAGTGCGGTCTCGTAGTCGTTGTCAAAGCGTTCCGATCGAAGCAGATCTAGAACTGCAAAGGCTGGTTGACCAAATGGACCATAAGGCAAAACCCTAGATTCAGCGCTACCTTGAATCCGCGGCACTTCTGACGGATAACGCTCTTCTGCTGATCGGAGTGGGGAACCGGAAGGTACGAGGTCGAGGAAACGAGCCGTACGGTTCATGTCGTCTAATGGCAGCAGCGCTCGGCTCTAATCTCGCTTCCAGGTTTCTGCAGGATAGATCTGACACGCTCGCGCGTGACATTGAAGCTGGACGCATGAGCTGCGCCATGGCGTTCTGAATGCAGGAACCGACGTGCCGATAGGAATGCCGCGCGACAGGACTAGAATCTACAAGGAGGACTGGCGATTAGGTATTGCAGACACCGTCAGCAACTAAGGCTTGCATCAAACAAGCCGCTGCGGAAGTGTGTCAGGACAAGACCCAAGACTGAGGAAGATTCAAAAGAACGGAGGATTAATCTTGGCGGAAAAGTGGGCTAGGGGAATATGTGGTGCCATGCCTGTGTGAATATTGAAGGTGGCGGGAAGGGAGGGACCAAATCCGCGCGCCAGAAGTTCCGAGTCTCAAATCATGTTTCTCTCGCTTTCTTCGCCAGATTTCTTCGCGTGCCCAGACGGGTAACCTCTCGCCAACGGCCTTCTTTTCCCAGTTCACAGGATCTTTACCTTTTCGGTACACGTGGCATAGCATCCACGTACCAGGCCACACAATTAGCTGATACAGAGGACAGCTCACAGCAATCGCCCACCACCTAAGCCTCTTTCGCATCACTTCGTTCAGCCAGAGCAAACCACAGAATGGCGAAAGCGAAATCAAGGGTTTCTGGAGCCTCCGCCGCACAATTCCCCGTTGGCACATCGGGCACTAGGGATGTTGTGGATTGCGAAAAGAAGAACTGTCGCGAAGGCTGTGCGAATTGCACCTTCACCAGAACGAAGCGGGAGCGACAGCCGCGACACGCAAGAGTGACGCAGCAAAAGCACGATGCACCAGGACACACAGGGCTGACCTTCAAGCCCTAGGGATTGTCCCTCCCGCCATGGTTGCTCTCCCTCGGCTCTCCAGAAAGGTGGGCATGAATGAGTGATTTGTGTGGCACAAAACTCATGCATGTAAGTCGGTCAGGCGCTCAAGATAAAGTGCTTTTGTTTGGGTTGTCTCTGGTCTGGAACGTTTACGAGTGGGAGCTGCCGTAGGGAGGATTCGCATCTGATTAGTCCGAGGCTGAGCTTGATCAGCTGGCGGAGAAAGAAGCTTCACTTGCGTGCTTCTCCTAGCTGCCTACGTCTCGGCCTTATCGGTGCGCATTTGCGGTTTCCTCGCAATGGCGGGCGTCCTACGGCAAGGACTCTCCTCTCCTCGCATACCGACCGACAATACTCAACCGCAGTCGTCGCGGTTTAGTTCGTTAGCCCGTCCGTCGGAGCCAATACGAGGCAGTGCGGTTCCAGCGGTAGCGCAGTCCCTAGCGAAAGCGCCGCGGCCGTCGCATTCCGCCATGCGAAGCGTATTCCCCGCGCTGACCCGTCGACGGCTCACTACCAGGTGTGCAGCCCTCCTGCAAGCAAGCACTCTCCGCCTGCGCAGTGCAGCACTTCTTGCAATCCATTTCAAGCCTTAAAAGCTTGACTGCCGTTCCTTACCCGCTCGTTCAAAATTCAAGCTCCACGCACTCGATGCCCAATTTTCAAGTCTCGTCGCCTTATTCCTCCTTGCCATATCGTCCCTTCGTTCGCTTCCCCCGCCTTCCCGCCCTCCCTTCAGAAGACCGCCCGCTAGCAGCACCAGGCTTCAGGTAATACCTCACTGAATGATTATGACAACTTTTGTTATAATGCATGAATTTAGGTGTTGCAATCATTTATTTCAAAGGCATTCGGTTGCGCGTTGGTCTGACATTGTATCTGAGCCGTTGCGTCGATGGACCTCGCAGGTGGTCGCCGTCGGTTCCGCCGTCTCCGCCGACGTCGCAAACGGCGCAGTCCGCGACGCGCAACCGAGTAAGCGCGCAGGCACACAACTTGACGCAACGTTACGGTTAGGTGCAATCTCCGTTCGAAATCATGCAGAAAACGGAAAATAAGACGGAAAGCATCGATCTTCGAAGTTTGTTCGACGGAACGCTCCCGTTTCTTATGCGCCGCGTGCTATTCGTACCCTTAAACGCCCCCGTGCTTCTCGTCCCTGGTACGAATGAACGGCAGGGAGCGCATTACCCGCGTCGGCGTGGGCGGCGGTGACGGATGAGGTGGCGGTGGGGTCGCTGTCCGTTAGCAGCAGCGCCGCCGCCGTGGCCGCGCTCGCGAGGGACGCGCGCATCACCGCCGTCGTCGTTCTCGAGGTGCGCGCTCGCGTGGTTTCATGCGTGAGCAGTAGCGTGAGCGCGGTACTCACTCGTGCGACTTGAGCTGGTTGGTAGCTGCGGTGAGCAGTAGCAGTGGCAACTAACGTCAATGTGGTTCGCTGGTTGATGTTCGCGTGATCGTGGCTGTGTGTGTGTGCGCGTGCGGGGTGCAGGAGGAGGGGAGCTACGGCGCGCGGGGCACGGGGTGGGAGGAGGAGAAGCGGGCGCTGCAGGACGCGGGGCTGGTCGCCGTGTGGGTGCCCATTCGCGAAACCGACTCCGCGGAGCAGGTGGGGAAGGGGGGTGGCTGTGTGGGTGGCATCATGGTTGGATGGTACTCGTGAGGAGATGGGACATTTGGGGTGCTTGGTGAGGAAGAGGGAAGTGGCATGAGCCGCCTGTGCCAGCAGCTTGGCATGTGGTGGGAGCGTATGAGAGGTCGGAGGTGAAAGAGTCATGGCTTGGCAGGTGAAACTCTCGTCGGGTGACGATGGGGGGTATTATCAAGTACCCTTGCCGCATTCGCGCTCACATGCCATACAGCTCCCGTCCCATCGAACTTATCTCCCTTCCATGCCTTGCCCCTTTCTCACCGTGCAGGCAGCCATGCTACCACAGGCAGTGCGCGTGGTGGCGGCTCTGACAGCCATGGGCCACAGAGTGCTGCTGCGCTGCCCCTCCGCCGCCCGCCTCTCCCCACTCATCGCCCTCGGGTGCGTCCTCTGTCATCTCACTCTCCCTCCGCCCCACCTGCTCTATGTGCGCTCTCCCTACCTTTGAGTGAGCGAGGGAATCACTTACTCTGCGATGCTTTCCTTGCTCACTCTCATCCTCAATTGCTTCTATTGTCTCTGCCGTGCTGTTGCATTCCCCTCACCAGACAGTGTTGACATACCAAAAGCCTCCACTCTGCCCAAGCCATACCCCCTTCACACAAAGACCCACATCACTAGTCTCTCTCGTGCGCCCCATGCATTGTGGTCTGCATGGCATGGCAGGTATCTGGTGCTGGCCAAGGGCATGCCTGTGAGCGCTGCACTGGCGGTGGTGAAGGAGAGCAGGCCCAACGCCGACCCGCCCGTCAACGTGCTCATGGATGTAGGCTACCCCCCCCCCCCCCACGCAACCCACTACCCTCGCAAGCTACCCCGTCTCCGTCGCCCCACTTCCCATCCTCCCAGCCTCTGCTCCTCAGTCCCGCTCCTCGCCTTACCCCCCTTCCTCCCTTCCCTCTTATCCCGCCCTGCACCCATCCACCAGGCGAGGGAGAGGCTGCTAGCGGGTGTGACGTCACGGGTGATAACGATAGCAGAGGCCATCTACCACACGCGCTGCACCACGGGGCAGCTGGAGGGAACGCGCAATGCACCCCACTCCACTCCTCAGTCTCCAAGGCCCACTCATCATTCCCCCTCCCCTCCTCCCTTCCTCCCTTCCCCCTCTTCACGCCCTGCACCCACCCACCAGGCGCGGGAGAGGCTGCTAGCGGGAATGACGTCGCGGGTGATAACGATAGCAGAGGCCATCTACCACACGCGCTGCACCACAGGGCAGCACGGCGACTCACAGTCCGACTGGGCGGTGCGCTGCTCTCTCTTCCTTCGCCTCCGCGCCCTATCATGCCCTGCCATGCCCTGCCATGTCATGTCATGCCGTGCCGTGTTGTCCCCATGGTTGGCTTGGCTGTATGCGCGACCCCACCATCCTCACCATCCCCACCATGCCACCACCGCCATCACTCCCATCACTCCCATCACCCCCTTCACCCCATCACCCCCATCACCCCGATCCCCATCACCATCAATTTCCCCCATCGGTTTCCCCCATCAGTTTCCCCATCGATTTCCCCCATCAGTCTCCCCCATCAGTTCCCCCCATCCATCAGTTTCCCCCATCAGTTCCCCCCATCCATCAGTTTCCCCCATCAGTTTCCCCCATCCAACATCAGCATCAGCATAAGCATCAGCATCAGCATCAGCGCATCAGCATCAGCATCAGAATCAGCATCAGCGCATCAGCATCAGCATCAGCATCAGCATCAGCGCATCAGCATCAGCTTCAGCATCAGCATCAATTCAGCATCAGCATCAGCATCAGCATCAGCGCATCAGCATCAGCATCAGCATCAGCATCAGCATCAGCGCATCAGCATCAGCGCATCAGCATAAGCATCCGCATCAGCATCAGCATCAGCATCAGCATCAGCATCAGCGCATCAGCATCAGCATCAGCGCATCAGCATCAGCATCAGCATCAGCATCAGCATCAGCGCATCAGCATCAGCATCAGCATCAGCATCAGCGCATCAGCATCAGCGCATCAGCATCAGCGCATCAGCATTAGCATCAGCATCAGCGCATCAGCATCAGCATCAGCATCAGCGCATCAGCATCAGCATCAGCCATCAGCATCAGCGCATCAGCATAAGCATCCGCATCAGCATCAGCATCAGCATCAGCATCAGCGCATCAGTATCAGTATCAGCATCAGCATCAGCATCAGCGCATCAGCATCAGCATCAGCGCATCAGCATCAGCGCATCAGCATCAGCATCAGCATCAGCATCAGCGCATCAGCATCAGCATCAGCATCAGCGCATCAGCATCAGCATCAGCATCAGCATCAGCATCAGCATCTTCACAATTTCCCCCATCCATCAGTTTCCAATATCAGTTTCCCCCATCAGTTCCTCCCAATCAGTTTCCCCCATCAGTTTTCCCCATCAGTTCCCCCCATCAGTTCCCCCCATCAGTTTCCCCCATCAGTTCTCCCCATCAGTTCTCCCCATCAGTTTCCCCCATCAGTTTCCCCCGTCACCCCCATCACCCCTATCACCGGTCCCACAGGCAGCAGCGCAATCCTTGCACTTTCTGCCCTTTCGTGCATCCTATCCCTCCTTACACCTTCTTGTATACCTCCTCTCTCCCCTCACGTGTGCTATCCCCGCTCGTGTGGTGTGTGCCCTTATGCACGTGCTCCTCCCTGACGTCACAGCAAGCGCAAGAGCAGTGCTCGCGAGAGCTCTTTGACAAGTGGCTGCTCGCTGACGTCAGCTTTGCCCGCTCTGTTGCTCAGGTGGGTATGCTCTGCTGCTCAGGCAGATTTCCAGCTTTCATTTGTTGCTCAGGTCATGTTGGCGCATTGCAAAGCTTGTCCCGGATTCGCCTTCATTTTCTCCTCCCTCCCCCCGCCTCGCTTTCCTTGCTCCAGTCTGCGGAGCACCAAGTGAAGACCAAGGCACAAGAGGCGGACGCAGCAGCAGCAGCACTGGCGGAGCGAGCAACAGAGGAGGAGCAGGGCGAGAGGGCAGCAGACCCCCTGAAGGGCCTTTTTGACCCCGCTTCCTGGTTGCCAAAGTCAGATTCAGACCAGACCAGCAACGGCGCCAGCAACGCCAGTGACAGCAGCAGCAGCAGCGGTGGTGATTCAAGCAACAGTGGCAGCAGCGTGATAAGCAACGGTTTCGATGTTACCACAGGCACGGGAGTTACCTCTCTTCCGCCTGACGCTCCACCTGAGCTTCAGGAAGCGAATGCCAGGGTGGAGACCTTATCTGTCCAGCTGGCAGAGGCGCGTGAGTGGCTCGCTGAGCTGGAGGCGTCCAGCAGCCAGGTCCTTGCTGACGTGGCGTCACGGACGGCTGAGATCGAAGCGCTGAAACGCAGAGAGGCCCTCTGGGAGGAGGAGTTGGAGGCAGCTAAGGTGAAAGAGATGGCAATGCGGGAACAGCTGAGAGTGAAGCAGACGGGGGGGGTGCAGCAGGTGCGCGTGTTGGGCGAGGTGGAGGAGGAGATTTCTGCTCTGAGATTAAAGGTGGCAGAGGGAGAGGAGAGGAACGCTGAGGTGGAGAAGGAAATTGGGGAGCTTCGGGCACAGGTTGACGAGGCAAAGGGGCAGCTTAGGAATGAACGAGCAGTGGCAGAGGAGGCAGAGGAGAGAGTAGCAGCGGCGAACGAGAAAGTGCGGGAGGAGGTTGAGCGGGCAGCACGGGCGCGGGCGGCGGCGTGGACGGCAGCGCAGGAGCGGAGGGCAGTGGTGCAGGAGCTGGCGGTGGTGCGCACGGGGCGGAAAGAGGCGGCGGCGCGGGCGGCGGCGGAGAGAATAGAGGAGCTGCAGGTGCAGGCGGGGCTGCTGGCAGAACGGGTGAAGCAGGCTGAGGTGGTTAGCGTGGAGGCTGACAGCCGTGCCGGGGCGCTGGAAGCACAGGTGAGAGGAGGGAGATGTTGGGTGCTGATGGAAGGGGCCGAGAGGGGAATGGAGGGGAGTGGATGGGGGATGTGAAAGTCTCATTTGCAACAAATGTGGTGAAAGAAGCACATATCTTTGCCGTATGATGCAATCTCCCTATTACTCCCCGCTCCCCCTCTTCCCTACCCAACCCCCTTCCTTCTCAGATGGCGGTGCTGGTGTCTCGAACGGCAGCAGCACAGCAGAGAGCGAGTGCAGCAGCGGCGCGAGTGACGTTCCTGAGTGGGCGATTCAACTCGCTTGAGATGACGGCTGCTGAGGCCGCTCGCAGGGCGGAGCGCGTGGAGAGCGAGGTGCTTCACCTGCGGGGGCGGGACGCCGACGCTGCTGCTGCTGTGGCTGCCAATGCTGAGGCTATCAGCCGCTTGTCGCTGGAGGTAAGCCGCTTGTCGCTGGAGGTAAGCCGCTTCTTTCCGGAGTTCCTTTCCTGCTCCCTCTCGCCCTCCCCACTTGGCACTTCTTTCACCACTGCCCACGTGCTTCTCTACCTCCCCCCTCTTCTCATCTCTACTCCACTGCCCTCCCCCTGCTACTCCGCCTGTCACCTGAGACGCCCAAGCCGCCCTGTCAGCGCACCTGCCAGCGGCGCAGCAGCAGACCAAAACGCTGCGAGCGCATTACGATGCCACCCTCACTGCCTCCCCTCCGCGCCACACTACCCCTGCTCGCCCCCTCTGTGCCTGCTTCTCGCCCCCCAGGCCATGCATCTCAAGGACAGCGAGGCGGCCCAAGCCCAGCGGGAAGCAGCCCTGTCAGTGCACCTGCCGGCGGCACAGCAGCAGGGCGAGGAGCTGCGGGCGCAGGCTGCCGCCTTCTCCGTCCAGCTGGCAGCCATGGCGCGCCACGTCACCGGGCTCAAAGCTGAGCTGGACTGGGTGGACGCGCACGGGCGGCGGCGCGAGGCAGGCTCAGCACTCTCGGCACTCTCGGCACTCTCAGGGGAGCATGGCACAGATGCGGAGGAAGCAGGGCGGAGCTGGAGCCTGTCTTTGGACACAGACGCCTCTTCCCTCAGCACTCTCAGCCCTCTGGGCCCTCTGAATCCCCTTGCGGCGCTGGCGCCGCTGGCAGCGGTGGCGGATGCGGCACAGAGCGTGGCGAGTTCAGTGGGGGTGGAGGTGGGAGGAGGAGGGGGCGGGGGTGCGGAGGGGAATGAGGAGTGGGTGCGGAGGGAGGTGGGCGTGCAGGGCGCAGCGGTGGCGGCGGAGGGTGAGCTGGAGGGACAGATGGAGGGCGTGGAGGACCCTCTGGAGCTGCTCAAGTGAGTGTGAGGTTGTTGAGTGAGTGAGTGAGCGAGTGAGTGTGTGTGTGTGTGTGTGTGTGTGTGTGTGTGTGTGTGTGTGTGTGTGTGTGTGTGTGTGTGTGAGGGAGTGTTCACCCATGTGTGTGGTGGGATCAGGATGCCACACAGGTCCATCATGCCACATGCCCACCAAAACCACCCCCCCATCCACCACCCCATGCCCCGACCCCCACCCCCTATCTCCCTCCCTTCCCCACTTCACCAACCCACCCACCACAGGGTGCTAATGGACCGGGTGTCGGAGGAGGCATCAGCCATCACGCAGCGCAGCGCGCACCTGGTCTCCGAGGCGCAGCAGCTGAGGGAGGAGCTGGACGCACAGCTGGCAGAGCAGGACGCCGCCTGCCAGGTGGACGGGCGGCCGCTGCGGGAGGTGGTGGGGGAGGTGGAGCAGCAGGCGGCGCAGCAGCGGGAGGAGCTGCTGCAGCAGGCGGGCGCACTGCAGTGGGCGCTGGGGGGGTCGCTGGCGCTGGCGGTGGTGGCGCCGCTGGCCATTTACAACAGCTACTTTTCTGAGACTGCCCGATCCAACCAGGTCCGTGCGCCTCTGTGCTTGAACGAGTACCACAGCCATTTTGTCGTGCTGCAGTGATGACTACCGTCCCTTTCATTTCCAGTTGGACCCCCCAAGGGGTCTGCTAGGTGTTGAAGCCAGTGCAGGCCAGCAGCAATCGTTCCTCCTTTGCGTTGCTCCGCCTCGCCCTCCCAACCCTCTTCTTCCTGGCAGATCAACACGCTCTCTGCACAGCTGGATGCAGCCACACAGGCCAGCAGGGCACTGGAGCAGGTAGCAGGGGAGACCGAGGCAGAGAGCGTGGAGGCAATGGCGAGGTTACACGCCATGGAAGCAGAGGTGGAGGCCCAGCGCGCCGCCGTTACACGGTTACAATCGCTCGTGCCCCTCGTGGCTCCCTCGGTGGAGTCTGACGAGGCTGCCCGGTTCTGCCAGAACGTGCCGCAGGAGTTCCAGTCACCGATCACGGAGCAGATTTGCGATGGGCTGAGGCAGAGTGGCAGGGTGGAGGCCAAGAGGGGTGATGGTCCGTCGGGTGGCAATGGGGCGGCACAAGGAGGGCGGTTTGGGTTCAACAACCCTTTCAATCTCGGCTGGAAGCGGTGGTGACATCTTAAAGCTTTGTGCTTTTCTTTTTTTGAAATATGCGGTAATGCCAAATGGGGCCACCGTACACCTGCTTGGTGAAGGTGACAGTCGATTGTGTGACTACCAATACCTAGTGTATGTATGATGGGCGCTCCATAATATACCGGTATAGTCCGTAGTTTTGCTGGAAACTCTCTTGCAATGAGAATGGCTGGTTGTTGATCTCATCTCCCTGACAAGGTCCTGAGGGCGCTTGAGTTGTTGCCTCTGTATCGGCATGAACATCTTGTGTACACTCAAAAGAGCCACATACAATTGTGTTGCATAGCACATTGAATCGATGCCATTTTGATCTTGACAGTCTAAGGTGGCTGGAGGTGCACACAGCTTCAAGAGCGCACCTAATTTGTACTAGTGCAATGCATTATGCATACCATAAAAAATGTTACAGCACAACCATAAGCATTGAATGAAACAGGAGCGGGCATTGATGCCAAAACAGCTGACGAGATCAACGGAGCTCCCAGCAGCAAGCTGGAAGGCTGCCTGTCCATGCAAGCTAGGCAAGGCAGCAGCAAAACATGGCGGTGCTATGTGCCGGTAGCAACCCAAGAGCTTCAATACACCTCCGGCAGAACCGCTAGGGGTGAGTTGCACTAGCTACTGATGCCAATTGAACAAATGCTCGTTGAATGTGCGTCGCGCTGGGGCTGTCTGATGGGTGGGAGGGAGGGCAGCACAGTGATGTGGGCAGGTAACCCAGCTGTGCCACGGTGCGGAGAGGCACGGCACGAGGGACGTGCAAGGGTATGGCTAGCCCCGTGCAGCCACACCCTTGACTCGATGCAGTGTGGTGCTGGCGGGGAAAAGAGGGGCGCAGGCTCCGGTGTGTGGCGGGCAGGGGAGCTGCGAGTGTGTGGAGCGAGAGGAGACAAGAGCTGCTGCTGTCATGATTCGATCACAACTTGCTAGATCGCGCAAGCCACTGTGGCAGCAGGCAGGGGAAGGTCAGTGAAGAGAGATAAGCAGTTGGGGTGAGACTTGAGGGGCGATCATGGCGATCATGTGCCTGTGAGTCCAGTCACTGCGGCAGCAGGCAGCGGTCGTTGAGGCGTCTCAGCAGCACGAGGTGCGGCGCCGTGCCGTGAGCGCGCCCGCAGCGCAGGCAGAAGTGGCTCGCCTCGTTGGGGCACGGGCGGCGCCCGCGGCCGAAGTGGCAGCACCCCGTCTGGTAGAACTGCCGGCACCCGCCGTACTCGTCCGGCGCGTCTAAAAGCGCTGCGTCCGCCGCGGGCAGTCCGCGGCGCGCCTCCGCCTTGAGGTCGTGCTGCAACGCTGCGATGGCGAAGTCCTCCAGATGCACCAGCTGATGGGGGGAACGAGGGCGCGGGGGAGGAGGGGAGCGGGGGAAGAAGGGCCAGATGGGGGAAGACATGGGGAATGAGCGGAGAAGAATGAGGAGGGGATGGATGGGAGATGGGAGCGGGCGTGGAGGGGAGCGCGATGATGTGGGAGGAGAGAAGCCGGAAATGGAGAGGAAAGAAGGGCGGCATCAGGGGGAAGTGGCGCGCGCGCAACGTACGTCGAGCGCGTGGACGGCCTTCACCATGCGGCGCAGCTGAGTGGCCTCCGCCGCCTGCCGCACCACCACGCACTGCGTCCCCTCCAGCTCCCGCCGCAGTCGCGCCGCCTGTCCCGCCTGCTGCGCCGCCACCTCCCCCGCGCCCGCCAGCTCCCCGCGCAGACACGCCACCTCCGCCGCTAGTTGCAGATGCGCGTCTCCCGCGGAGTCCAGCTCGCGCCGCAGGCGCACCACCTGCCGCGCATGCTCCCCGCACGCGCGCTGCATCTGCGCCATTTCTAGTTGCGCCATTGCCGCTGCCTGCTGCGCTTCAGCCGTAGCGGCTTCCGCCCGCCGCACTGCCTGCTGAAGTCGTTCCACCTCCTCCGCATGTGTCGCCGGTGTCTCGCGTGTCGCGTGTGTCGCATGCGCCACGCCCGCCGCAGCCGGATCTTCCACCGTGCCGCCAACCGCGCGGGGGAGCGTATCAGGAATCGCTTCTTCGCCTGCTGCCTCCCCCGAACCAGCCGCCGCTGCGCCAGGCTCGTCCTTTGCGTCCGTGGGGGCCAACGCCGCAGGCGACGACACGTACCAAGGGTTGTCGGCAGGAAGTGAGTCGTGCGACAAATCCGCCGCCGTCGCATGGCCGGCGACTGACGACGAAACGGACGACACGAACGACGCGGGCGACGACGGACTGGAACTTGACGACGTAGCGTGTGTCGCCTTTTCCCCCGGATAGGGAATCAAGCTCGCGCTGCGACGACCGCTGCTGCTGCTGTCATAGTCTGCCGAACACGGCGCAAAGGTGGGCGCGGGCACCGCGGCAGAAGCAAGGGCGCGGAGAGACCCCGCGGAGGCGGCGTGGGGGAGTGAAGGGCGCGCGGGAGGTTCAGGCGGAGACTGCGAGCGGAGGGAAAGCGAGAGCGCGGAGAGAGAGGTTTCGAGGGCGAGAGAGGGGAAGGCGAAGGCGGACGACGTGAAGGGCGCGGAGGGCAGGCTCGGCGGAAGCACCGACGGCCCTTGGAGGGCTTGGCCTTGCGCGTGGTGCGGGAGAGAGGGGGAGAATGCGCGGTCCGGAAGATGAGAGGGATGCGAAGAAGCGAGCGCGGAGAGCGCGGAGGAGAGGTGGGAGGGTAGCGGCGGGGGTTGTTGAGCGACAGTGTGTTGCCACGACCCCGCGTCGTATGCGACACTGTCGCATGGCGCGGCACTCTGCCACGTGTCACGCGGATAAGACATCTCCGCCTGCAGCGGAGGCCGCGCAAGGTACGTTTCCCATGGCGGCATGGCGGCAGCCGTTCGGGCGGCGGAAAGGCGGAGGGACAGGCCGGATGCGAGCGGAGGCTGCGGAGATGTCAGGAACGAGGGAAAAAGCGAGCGTAGCGGTACGCGGAGATATCGATAGACAGCGAATCCGATGTGAATGAGCGCGTGGCTGTTGGGACACCACAAGGCTGGTCAGGAATAGATTCCTAATGAGACGAGGTGTTATGTAGTGCCACACTTGAGCTGGCCTTCTGGTTTCGGCTGCACGCAGAGCGATGAAGTTCTGCTTGCTGCTGTGGGCAAAGCTATAGCATATGCTCTCAATCACCTGCTTCCCTAGCAGCCAATCACAGATGTCATGGGGGAAAAGCAGCTTCCTTGGGGTGGGACCGAGCGGGGCAGCGAATGGTGATGGATACGATCGAGCCAGAGAGAATGGCGATGAGGCTTGAGCTCCCGCGGATGAGTGGATGAGGAGCGAGCTGCTAGGGACAGAGGGGCAGCCATGGATGTGGCCTGAGCTGACCATGGGGTGGAGCCTGCAACGAGTGAGGCGAGTGACACCACCACCAATCCTGGTACCTCACGACCATCGCCAGCTCTGTGCGACATCATTGCGAAGTGCTCATGATAGGGTTTTGTCTTTTCGCCCGAGGCGATTCCACAATTGGTGTTCGCGACAGTGACAAGGCATTCCCTGTTTCGAAAAACTTGTGGCTCGTGCGAGGGAGATTCGCTCAGCCTGCACAATCGCCACTCGCCTGCTGTGTGGTGTGGAGCCGCCTTCTCCACGGCATCCACAATGTGCGACCGATTAATGGTAATCGCGACGTGCTTCCCCGTCGCACAGTCGCACAACCATTCAGCGCACCACTAGACGAGAGGTCCTTTCCAACGTTACCCCTCTCCGCCAGACAAAAAGCGGGATGCGAAACGCTTGCCGAACTTCTTGGAGCGACAGATGGGATCACGCGAGGCGCGGAAGTCAGGTGTGTGAAAGAGCGAAGAGAGTTGAGAGCAGCGCGCGGATTGGTGGATCGGAAAAGTGCGGATAACGCTCCACCAACTGAGGTTGACTGGTCACCACAAATTCACACTCGCTGTGGTGGCGAGCATACGGCCATCCAGCGGACTTTAGCATCATGACCAACCCTTTCCACGAGGTGTTACGCGTTTTGGACAGGCCGTTATTACGGGTCGACCAAAAGGACATACCGTATGTTTTACAGAGGTGAGTACATACGGTACCAACTTGCACAACACACTTTCAAAGCATGATTCTGCATCAACTCACGATTTTAAGCCAATTCTTCATGCTAAGTGTTCTCAACTCGAGCACCCGAGAAACAGGTTCACGTGGCTACAAACCATACAAAGGAATAAGGTACTCAATTCTTTCATAAAATTGCTTATTGCCAAGAGCAGTTGCGAGCTCATTTCCTAGCGCCATAGTAGAGCTCGAGATAGTCGAGCGCTGGTCTGTTCCAAGTCCAGTCTTGCTCCATGACCCGCTTGGCCAACCCATTCCACCACTCGCGCCCATCATACCACCCAGATATGGCTCTGCACAGGAAGCAGGGATGCACCGCGGAGGGATTGGAGAGGGGAAAACGATATGATTACAGTGGCACGTGACAGCGAGGGGGGTTAAGCATACACCATTTGTGCCTGCGATCTCAGAGCACAGCTTGTTTACATAAACCCATGGGATGTTGAAGTGCTGGTGGTTCCCCTTCCAGTGAAGAACTCCGTGTTAGCTAGCTGACAGGGCAAGGCAAGGCACGGGTTACCTGTCGAGGGCATAGTCGAGGCCGGCGGCATCGGCGCCCTCAAAGGAGAAGCCGTTGACGTCCTTGCCCTGCGCCTTGGCCCTGTCATGATCGTTGTCCACGTCAAACACCGTGTCGTTCAACCCTGCCCCGCACAGAGAGAGAGCACGTGCATGCGAGGACGATGCAGGGGAGAGGGGAATGGTTAGGGAGAGAGGGAAGTGGAGGGACAGGGTCGAGGGGGAAGGGAGGAGGGCGAAGGAAAGGGTAAGCCTACTTCACAGCCACTGTGTCATTGAGAGCAGTGGGGAAAGGAAGAAAGGAGCGAGTGACAAGACAAGAGTGGCAGGGAGCGGGTGGCTGACCTCCTGTCTTGCGCACGACGGGCACGGCCCCGTAGCGCATGGCGATGAGCTGTGTGA